CAGCAGAACAAAAACTTGATGTTTGCTAAGTCCACCTTTCACATCTGTCATAAGGAATGTTTACACTTCTGCTGTAACAGCATCTTTTCCAAGTCTTTGGTGTTCCTGTGGCAACGTGATGCTGCTGGTTTTAGTAGAAATGAGTGGTGCAGCTGGAGTCAGTCATGAGGCCTGCAAACCTTGCTGTCCTCTTTAAGGCTGCAAATGCCCACTTCCATCTCACAGCTCTGGAAACTGTTTCTTCTCCTGGCAAACTTTCCTGTCATGTAAAGCCAAGAATGATTCCCACTTGGAGCAGAGTCAAACACAACCCTGGAAACCTGCTTAGAAACTACAAAATTGGGCCATTCTGTATGGCCTCTGCTTTTGGTTGCAGGAAAAGTCTCTATCAGCAGTATTTATTTTACTGGCTTATTTTCTTGCAGAGTGCAGCTCTTTGGCTTCATTCCCAAATGGGCAGTTGTATTTTTGCCATCTGTCACCTGTACAGGTAGTGGTTCCTCCTCAGAAGTTTCAACCACAACAGGACACCAGGTGAACAGAGAGACTGCAACATCCACTTTATACAGTGACTTCCTCACCTTGGTTTCCAAAGCAGCAAAATATTACAAAACCCAGGAGCGTAACATTAAATTGGTCCTTGTTCTGCTTACAACACGGTGCTTTCTTGCCTCTTTGAAATCCATTGCCACCTGCGAGTTCTGACTACAAATGTGAACTGTGAGATCTGTCTTGCATGCAAGTTACTTCAAATCCAAGGTGATGAAAAAGTGCACAAGAAGATATTGTTATGCCCCATAATCCAGGTTGATGTAATTCCAACAGCCTTCAAAGTAATGTCCTCAAAATAATCTACAATTTGTAAGGATCTAATAATTCCATTTCTCTTCTGAGAGGAAACCCAGTTCCGGTGGGCAAGAACTTGGGTGAAAGTCCAATTAAGTTTTTATCATACAAATGCTGTGAAGTGTACAGACTCTCATTTTTTAATAAAACCATGAGAAGTGGTGACATTTCTTTGATGAAGTGGCTTCAGCTCAGAGGACTCTCGCTACACAATGCAAATTTACCCTTATTGGATTTTACCAGTACTACTGAACGGGACTGCCTTGGCTTGCCTGGTCCCTGCTGCTGAGCCAAACAGCGGCACCTGTGGTGTTTTGCACCCCAGAGAGCTCTGGCTCGCTGTGAGTTGCTGCTGAGCACGTGGGGACAAGTCCAGGCATGTCCCGAGCTCCAGTGCTTATGGCTGGCGCTTGTTGGTGGAAGAGGGTCACTCCTCAGGCCTCCCTGAGCTGGAGAAACCTTTAAGGTGATGGTGAAGGAAGGAGTGGGTGCTGATGGAGGGTTTAATCCAGAGTTTTTATTCTGGGCTGCATGGCCTCTAAATCCAGGAACAGCTCCACGAGAACCCCGGGCGCATGGTGTGCTCACCTTTTTAACCTGGGGGAGGAGGGGGAACACAGGGAGCACCAACCAGGTACGGGGGGAGGGGGTCTCAGGTGAGAGGGACACCTGGATGGGCCAAGGGCCCCCCAGGGATGGAGAGCATCCTTTGAACCTGCCAATCACTCGATGCTCCCCTGGAATTTCTGGGTTGATAGACTGTGCCCAGCAGGAGTCAAGGTGGGGGAAAGGAGAGGTGACTGACACACCACCTGGGGAAGGGCCTGGGTAACTGAGCCAAGCCATGACATCACACCGCAACATAACCTAACACCACCATTTTTATTTTCAGTGTAAAAACCTCCCAGCTCTTTCCTCTGGGAATTTCTCAGCCATTCTTTGCTGCTCCCCACTAAAAGATGTGGCACTGAAAATAAGCAATTTCAATAAAACTCAGAAAACCACTGCCATGCTGTATCTCAAAGCCAGGGAGCACCTACCTCCAAATCTACTGTGAAACCCAAGTTTTTCTGTCAGCACAGGTAGCTACAACCCAAAAGCCCCTAATGCAATACAGGTGCTGTCTGCAGGTAACCTGACCATGCTCATGTTCAGCAGCACATGCAAGACGTTTTTATCATGCAGAGAACACGTCAGTGTGAATCCTGAAGGCCAGCTAGAGTGGAACGTTTCTTTCACAGGGGGTTTGCTGTGAGCTAGAAGACTATTTTTCCTTTTCAAATTATTTGGATGGGAGTTAAGTCTCTCTGGGGCTGCTAAGAAATATCAGCATTTCTAAATCTGACCAGGTAAGGCCAGAACCTTGAAACCACAGCGTTAAAACTGAGTTAAGCAATAAATTGCAAGAAACCTCTGGAGGATGAAGGAGGAAGAGAAGCAATCTCAGCTTTCGGTATTGCCCTGTGGAAGAAGGCAACAAACAAGCGATGCTTTCCTTCCAGTTCAGGCTAAACACACTAAACAGGAAGAGGCATCCACTTAAGAAATTAAATCCTACAAAAAGATTCTGTAAGCAGCACTCTTCACTTTCCAGCTGGACGACAGAGTAAACCTTTTGGATTCCGCTAGAAGTACAGACAGAACAAACAATTATTCACATGTAGGGACGATGACAGCAACTATTTCACTGACCTTTGCACTCTAAGGAAAAGCCTCATAACCTCCTTCAGAGCTTTACATAATAATTTCTGGCTGAATAGCACAGGTCAGGTAGGGAGCTCATGGTGCGTGATATTCGTATGGAGCCCATTTTTCAGTGATGTGCATTCGCCAAGCTCTCACTGGCCTGTAGCAATGCCAGGAGAAAGTACCGGAGTGTTACCGGTCTCCCACAATTTTCTAGTAATTACTTTTGTCCTCTACCTTTGTTGACTAAATTCTCAGACTTTAATAAGCTGCCAGAGTTCCATCTTAAAAAATGTGAAACGAAAAACTGAACCCAAACCTAAACTTGTTTGTTGGAACTTCACAGCCAGACAAGAATCTCGTCCTGTTTCACAACAGGAATTTCTAACCCAAAGCCAAGACTACAACTACTCTTTCAGCATCTCATAGCAAAGTCAGCAAAACCGTATCTTTGTGTTTTCTGGATCTGTAACTGAACCTGGATTAGCTGTGCCCTGTTCCTTTTCATGTAACTTTTAATTTTAAAAATTCCACAGCAATGGTGAATTATTCATCCTCAACCATCTAAATATCCTGTTCCACTTCCAAAAGTATGATATTTACACTTAATTTTCTACATTTTGAGATAGAGGACTGCTTCTTTCAGTCATTCTGGTAAGTCAGGGACTAGATCAGACAAACCAATGCTGTATCCTTCTACTAAATATTTCTATCACATCCAGGACACCCGCTGCACTTGGGACAGCACAGGTAATTCCTTACATAATCACTCAGCTAATAGGCATGATAGTTTATAAAGTTTACATCCAAATCAGCCCCCAAATGTTCCCACTGTAACTGTGCCAGTTTAAGGTAATATCTTTCCTAATACTCATTTTTATGTACATTACTGCACCTTAAACAGTCAAAATTCCAGAGCTGTCATTCAGTGGCCCATATCTCAACAAACTTTTTGGTTTTTTACACTCATGTCCCACCAAAAAGCATTTCTTTAGCTTGCCATTAGCTGGACTCCATGAACTAGGTGTGCACCATTCTTCAGCAGATCCTGCATCCTGAACCCCTGAATGTTTTTTATTTCAATACTATTGAACATCATCAGTTTGTCTTGTTCTAAGCAATTCAAAAGGTTCAAGAAGGTCACAACCCCAAGTAAAACTCGCTCTCATACCTCTGTGGCACAGTTAGTGAGGCTGGCCACTGCCCTCTGCAGGAGCAGCTGAGCTGGCTTTCTCCTGTGCTGCACGATCCACAGCGGTCTGCGCCTCGGATTCCCAAGCATGGATTTCACATGCAATACATACAGACAACAAATGTATCGATGGGCAGCTCCTGGTATCGAGACCTGCTCTGTACACATCCCGGGGCTTCCACCAGCTCCTGCAGAGCTCCCTTTAGCCTTGTCAAATCAACAAACATCCTTTTCATGCTGAATTCATTCCCTGTTCTTGATATGAAAGCATCTTTTCCTTCGACCCCATGCAGCAGTGCTGACTCACTCTGGTTAGCTTGGAAAGGCTGCTAAACCATCACATTCAATTCCAGCGCACTGGTGTAAGTCTCTTTCAAGTCAGCACGGAGAAACACTTTGAAAATGAGCTGCCTTATCCAAGCTCTCGTTAGTTCATTCCTCATCCAAACAGGTAATTCCCAAACGGATGCCATTCTCATCTATACAGTCTCTTTTAAGGTTCTGCTGCAGGTCATTTCTGCTCCACAAATTCCAAATTAGCCAAGACTTCCAAACCTCTTCTTTCTTTCCAGTTTGGGGTATCCACAATGTCAAGCTGTTAATTGCTTTTGCAAGATGGAGGAGGTAAATGTTTCGTAAAACAGCTTTCAAAATCCACTCAGCACTTTGTATTTTCTCAGCCAAAAGAAATTTTTATTTCCAACAGGATTGTATGACTCTTCTGGATGATTTCCAAGTTCTCCCAGGAAGCCACTACACAGTTTGAATTCCTCCTGGCTCGGTTTAGAATCATGACAGCTCTGGTTTCTGTAAAGACTTGACCACCAAGCACAATCCTGCTCTACTGGAGATCACCCCTCACCTCTGACCACAGCACAGGGGGGATTAAGCCACAACTGCGTCGAAGGATTTTGAGCACTTCCCACCGTGAAATACTTCCCACAGAACTGACTGTGGTACCATTGCTTTATTTGCTCTACACAACTGCCACCACTTTCCAGCCACGGTGCACGAGGAAATATTGAATCTCCATACTTGCCACAAGCTCCCACATGGAAAACCTCCAAGGCTCCCTCCCAGCAACCCAAAAACCTTCTGCCTCTGCTGTGACACCACCCTGAAGAGCCAAAGTGAAAGTGTCAAATTCAGCAGTTCCAGCACACGCTGTTCTGCTGTCACAGTGCTACATACAGAGTTGACTCTTCACCAACATATAATCAATGCAATAACAGCAACTTTTTTTTTTTTTGAATACGTAGAATAGAAGAGACACTATGAAAAAAAAACCAATTTTTATTCAGTTGAAAAGAAGTCATTTACTCAATCACATTAACTATGCTAAAAATGACTTTTTTCTGACTACACCAGCAGTTAAATATTTTCAGCACCAATTCATGACACATTAGTGACATTTATCACAACAGGTCTATTTCTTAATGTAAAGGACATACTAACTTCGGTAGCTGCTACTGGGAAAGGACTAAGCAGAAGGCTGCCTTTTCTTTCCAAATATTTATGAGTGAGAGTAGCAACTTATAGAAATAAATAACTGCCAAATTATCTCCCAAATCTTTAAATCGATCTTTTAAAAATAGAGTTAAAATAGATATCTTAATATGAGCTATCATAGATTTTATTTTTATGTGCTGAATACTCCAAAATGTGAGTAGCTGAGCAAGCATCCAGTACATAACTTTTAAAATAGTTCTTCCCTCCCCACAATATCAACCCCATTTTTTAATCCATGTCATGCTGGTTAGATCCCTATCTCTAGTGACTTCCCAGTAAACAACACGCTGTTTGATACCGCTGGGATATGCGACCATCCTGTGAGTGAAAGAAGTCAGTGACCTGGTGAAATACCACCAACTCACACGAACAGAAAATTCATCCAGTCATTGGCTTGTTAACTCTGAACATCAAACAGATCCTAAGCTTTAGTTTTTCAAAGCCTTTGTGGTCTTCCTCTTGCTGGGCCAGTTCAGAAGGTCATCACTGAAGGCAGAACCGATGAAGGCAAAGAAACCAAAAAGCAGCAGATAGTACTGTCTCTGTCCTTTTAAACAAATCAAGTTCGCACAAAACAAAAGGAGACAAGGTTAAAATGAAGTTTATTAGTTTTTTTTGGTTTTTTTAAGCTTTTTTTATATAAAACTGTTTGTGAAACAGCTATTTTTATTCCCATGGCAGAGTGACCCCTGAAAGATGCACTAACCCCTTTCTTAAGGCCTTAACAAGAAAAAAAACATGATTTTTTGTTGTTGTTCCTAAAACCCAAATGTTTTAAAATTACATAATTTACAAAAAAAAAAAAAAAAAGAAAAAAAAAAAAGAAAAAGAAAAAAATGAAAAAAAACCAACCCCGAATAACCATATAGTGTAGACTGTTACACTGACATTCCCTCTTCCTTCCTTAGGAAAAGCGAAAATATAAAAATAAAAGAGGGCCAAGTGGATTTACCCCAATCAGTTTGAGGATACATTGACTCCCCCAACATTCAGACTTCCTTTCATTCCCCAATCTGGCAGGTAAACCATGTCTTCCTCTCACCTGCCTTCCAAACTGAAGGCAGCTTCTTGGAATGATCTGGGGGTCACGTTGTTGCTCCCTTCCCCTGTGTGGTACAGGTGTTCCCACACCAACGAGGGGTACGGGACCTAGCAAGCAGCAGCCACCTCTTACTTCATGAGTCTCATGACCCAAGAGTCTGCAGATGTTATTCAAGCTTACATTGTTAACAGTGTTTCTCAAAAATGGAAACCTCGCTACCCCCCCCAGACACAACTACTGACACCAAATTACCTGCAATCATCCAAGCCTTCCTCCCACACCCTACAAACAATTTATCAGTATTTCATTTGCCTTTCAAAATTGAATTTCATCAGATGTTGTGAGAAAGAAAGCAAGAGGAACAGAGACAAGTCCTGTTTGGAGTACTCCCAGTTTTGCTATTCTTTCCCACAAAATGTTAGGCTCCACATGCCTTGCTTTAATTTTGGATTTAATATTTACTTTAGCTATAAGTTTCTTTTTTAATTTATATGGGGTTTTTAAAATCTTAATCAAAAGCATCAAAAGGGATATAGCGCACCTTTCATTTAAAACAAAGTCTTTCAAGACTAAAAAATAGATCTTTATATATATATATATTTATCCCTCCCTCTTTAATTCCCCCCACCTGTTTCCTTTTTCCCCCTCCCCTCCCCACTGTCACTATGGAGATTGTGTCCATGGAAACAGCTGGTTCAGACTCCTTGGTCAGATTCTGTGATGTCATCAGTCTTGAGTGTGATGTAAGAATTTATGAAGGAAGTGCTGGCATTGGCAGGCACGTCGAGAGGGGGCATGGCTGCACAGTGGGAGAGATTCCATTCAGTCACGAATGTCCACCGCTTTTTATCTCAACAGCCTAACCTGAAAAACAAAGTCAAAATAATATTGGACTGGTTCCTTCCCTCCATTTGCAAACAGGCCCCTCAGGCTTTGGAAAACCCGCTCAGCAGCCTACCACAGCAGCAACACCAAGAGCTCTTTAGCTTTGTGGACTGAAAACAGATATACACAATGGTGAGTAGCTCATGAAAGCTAATCCATACGATAAAAACTCTTTGTTTAACAACCAGGAAAAAAAAAAAAAAAAAACAAGCCCAGTTCGGAAGGAGGTCTGGGATGACAGGATGATCCATACCACAATGGCACAGCACTCACCTCTACCTTCAGCAGCCAGGCAGGAGCTCACTCACCTCATGTCTCCTCCTCACACTGACCGTGAGATTGGGAAAGAGAGGGGCCGAGCACATCCCAACATGGTGACAGCTCCTGGGATGCCATGAGGGACTGCACCCAAATGTTTCCCTATGGGCTACGCTGCAACCATCCAATGGTGGTTTCCAGTGAATATGTAGCAGACAGTGAAACTAGTATCAAAATTACAGGAGTCCAGGAACCAAACCTGGGAAATTGCCAGATTTCACCAACTAAAGGTAAAGCTGTGTGTGGTTTAACTAATTGAAGAGCAGGTGATATTTCTTTCTGATCTAATTTTCATATTACAGAGACAGTTCATAGAAGGACTAAGCTTGTGATGTCTTTCAAGACAAATGTGGAAATGTCCAAGTGCTTGGCACATGTTCTCCCTATCCAGAAATTCTCTGAGGTGAGAAAATGAAGGAGTTTACTAAGTTAGTGGAGGCTCAGCTCAAAAGAGAAACTACAAAGTTAAAATTTAATTTCTCTGAATTTGGGTTCTCATTCTTACTCTGCATAGAGAGACAGCAAAGCTTGAAATAATGTATCCCTTCCTTCCCTTATCCCGTAACATAAGTGAGCCCAACAGCAATTTATTTGTTTAGTAAGGTTACTTAGATATGACTTAGATAAATCCCTTCCTACCAGCTAGTGAGCTTGGGAAAAGAACTTGCACCAGAAGTGATGCATATGGAAAGCAGTTAACGAAATTAGAGGTGTGCCTGGGAGCAAAGTAACACCCATGTTTGTTCATAGCTGCAATTAAACTCCAGGAACCCTAACCAAGTGTGATGCAGAAGTCAATACTGCTCTGATCATCAGCACACCAATTAGATTACATCCCAGCAAGCCCAAATCTTGGCTGCAAATATCCCCTATCCAGGGGTGCCAGGCTGCGAGGGAGTAAAGAGTCAGGCAAGCACATACAAAAACCAGATGGGCAAGGTCAGGAGCAGCAGCTGAAGAGGAAAGGGGGAGGTTCCCAGAGAGTTCAGGCAGCTGCCCTTTGTGGTTTCATTACCGCGCAACTGCGAGCCCTCACTGAAGGAGTGTCGAGGCCATGTTGCTGTCTCTGGCTCCCGTACAACTGCGGCTTGCCCATGCCTGGAGCTGGTCCAGAGCATTAGGCACTGGCTCAGGGAAGAAACAGGCTCAACACACAGAGAGTCCTGCCTCATTCCTGGACAAGATCCAGAGCACCAGACTTGCTCTCACAGTCACTCTCCAGATCTGGACTTGATCCAAATGTTCTAGAGGCAACTGGCTCAGGGAGAGAGCAGCAACGAAGACAGAATACACTGACTTGCCTGGATGTTATCCAACATGCAGGATTTTTCTTAACTTGCTAGGTCTGGGAGTGAACCAGGACTAAAACAGCCCAGTAATCTCACAAATGAGTATCCATTGTATCATACAATAAAGCCAGCAGAAGGACAGTTCCAGTACTACCTGGACTGCTACAGAATTCCCCTGAAGCTCTTTAATTACCACAGTAATACAAACATTTTTAAATTTTTTTTGTTTGTTTGTTTTTTGGTTTTTTTTTTTGTTATAAGGGTCTTTTATATTTGCATGGCTTTTATTTTGAAATGCAAGATCAGGTTGGAATTGGAGAACCTAATTTTTAAGATATTCTAAACATTAAAAGGGGGTGGCTAAATAGGACCTTCTGGTAAGAATTACTTGAGGCAAAATTGGATTTCAAAAGAAATTATGCCTTAGAGAGATATCTGGAGCATATAATGAATACAGTGCAGAGATTCCACAGCCTGCAAGATCTTAAGTCAAGACATTCCTATGATATATAAAAAAAGAGCTAGCACTGGAAAATAATGCAGGGAACAAAGCTGTGTAAAGGTCTCTGGGACACAGTAATGTTCACCAGTACCTTAAAGGAATGGCACTTCCCTAGTGTTAAACAGCCAGAAGAGGCACTTCGGCTGTGGGACTCTCATCCTGCTTTAACATTATGAATTACATTGCCTGTTACATTTTAAGGAAAAGAGAAAAGCTTAAAGGAATCCCAGTGACCTTTACCATGGAAGGAGAAAGCTACTCAAACACTGAATACTGTTAAACACTGTTTACATGGTAACTGTTAAAACAACACTCCAAAGCCAAGAACGAATGCTATTAAAAATGGAAACTCACAGAACACAGCTGAGCTAAAGCAAGTCAGCAGTCAGTCTACAAAAAGTTTATATAGCTCTTCTGCTACTGCACTAAAACCCCACAATCTTCCAATTAATCTCTCACCCTTCACACAGAACACCATTAGAAGTACTTCACAATCACTTTACTTGAAAAACAGGAAAGATTTTAAGTCAGGAGAGAGGTGCCTGGGAAGCAAGGGAACGGTAATGAAGGAAGGGGATTACCATCAGCAGTTCCAAGAACTGACATGGAAGAGCAACTTCCCCTGCATGATTGCAAGAAAAAGAGAAGCAAAGAGCTTGAGTAAGAAATGCAACTGAGTAGAGAAATGAAGGCAAGAGACCTTCTTGGGCTGCAGTTTCATGGACATGGAGCCAACAAGTATTAATTTGAAACCGAACACTTATTTAATTTTAATCCACCCTGTTGCCTTTGAACTGCAGTGCACTTGCAATTGAGTAAGAAATAAGAAATCCCAACCTCATCCCATTCCCCAGGTGCTAACTCCCACCTCAGTGCTACTCCCTCCTTGTGCCAGTGTATTTTCCCAGCCACACAGTGAACCAGATTAGGAAAATGACCCGGCTCCGATGCTAACATGGCAAAAAACTGTTTCAGACAAACTGAATTCCCAACCAAGTTCTCACCTGGCTGTATGAATGCGGGGCCTAGACAAAGGAGGAAGCAGGAAGAAAGTGGAGTGAGGAACTTGGGGCATATTAAAGTTATGGAATTGTGACCACTTCTGGATACAGTTCTACCTTCTATGCCCCACATCTGTTTGCAAAACAGAGAAAAAAGCTGGGCCAAAAGAAACACAGTGGGGTCCTGCTAAGACTGATTTACTTATCCCTGGATCGATCTATCTACATTTCCAGAAAACGGGAATCCTGGGTTACAGTAATCCTGAACTCATCAATATTATTTATTCTTTACATATAGAATTTAAGATACTTTGATGACTTTATTTATACAGAAGCTTACTAACTACTCTGAGACTCACAGAAAAACACCTTCAGATCCTTACAGACATGATACAAAAGGAGATTTCTGCCGCTCCTTTAGCTGGGAGAGTAATCAGGCAGTTGTAACAGCTAACAAGCTTTGCCCTTCATTGTTTAACAGAAGGAACTGCTGCAGAAATACCAAAAAAAAGTAACAGGATGGTAGCAGGGGAAAAAATATTACAAATTTTCTGAATATATACAAAAGCACCTTAATTTCTCACAGAAATGGGGAAGGCACTGGATGTAAGACAGCAGGTGCAACTGGAAGCTCTCCCCCACTCACCTGTGCTTGCTTTTATATCCATTCCCAGGAGTACACTTCCCCCCTCACCCCCGCTCCGACTGCTCTGTGCTGAGGCTGCCTTTCACCATCTTGTTCTGCAAGGAGGGAAGAGAGCAAGGAAGGAGGGGCTGACGAACCAGCAAGCCAAACAGAGGAGGAAAAAGAAAATGAGGGAGAAACGGAAGACAGGGGTAGGGAAAGGGAACATACACAAAGTGAGAGAGAGAGAGAGAGAGAGAGAGAGAGAGGGCAGTATTGAAGTCAGAAATAGACTTTTCAGACAGAGTTTTCCCGAAGACAAAAGCAGGTAATTCCACAAAAGTAGAGTCTGAGATATGAAAGCCTGGTTAATTCTAAGAAACACAGAATTTAACACAAAAAGTTAGTACAAGCTGAGAAGCATCACTTGAAAATTGCCCAAACAGATGGCTTGAGACAATCTAAGATGCTGAGCCGCCAAAAGGTGAGGCATCCCATCCCCTTTATAGCCTCTCCACGGCTCAGCGTCCTCATCAGGTCTGTTGCAACCTCACTTGCTGTGATGCAGACAGAGCCATTTGGATCTGTGAGAGGAACCCTTCAAAAGATGACAGTTTTCAGACAGCATTTTCCCTGTGATAAAAGCTGATATTTTGCATAAGTAGCACATTCAGGACATGGATGGTTGAAGCATCACTCCTGACAGAAGGAAATGGAAAAGCTCACTGGGGAGCACATGGAAAGGCAGGACCAGTCCCCTCTGGACTCAGCTCACTTATGCCCTAAGTGTCAAGCACAGTTAATGAGGCAAGAAGCACCTTTGCTCTCCAGGAGCCGCTTACTTTGATGAAGTGTATTTACCGGTGTGAGGCACGGACTGCCAAAGGGTAAGAGGCCCTGTACTGGGGGACTTAATGCTGGAGATTTATAAAGTTAGCTCCTCCACCCATTAGCTACACAACAGCAGAGTGAGCTATGAGACAGTTACTAATTTGCTAATAGTGCTAAGCTGGTCTTACCTAAAAGCATCACTTTCAACAGACTAATTGAAAGTCTTTCTTCCTCTCAATTGCTCATACTGATATCATGCAAAAAAAAATTGATGCAATTTGTTCTCCAATCATTCTAGAGCAATGGTTTTCAGCCTTCCTGTTCCTGCATTGTCACTGTCTGGAATTCCCCTTTCCAGCCACTACAATGAAAGGAACAGAGTGAGCTTATATTCTGCTGTGCAGAAGGATTGGGAACAAACCAGTAATGATTAGTGAAATACACGGTGAGGGCAGAGAAAGAAAGCAAAGAAAACTCTACTTGGCTTCAAAGAAATTATTTGTGTCTTTACTAAGCAAAAACCAACAAACTTCAGTGTCAAATAAAGGTTGATGGTGTTGAATTTATGTTTTTGATGCAATAAAGAAAGTGATCTGCAGTGGGATAGTTCTGAATTGAATTCAATATTTTTTTTTCTCGTGAAGAACCGTTATGAACTTAACTGGTAGTTGTCCCACTCCCATTCTGCAAGGTTACTTTGGAAATCCATGTGCCTTCTCAGAATTTTCTCTGAGAAGCTGGATTCTTTGCCTGAATCTAAACCAGTTCTTTCCTTTCATGGTTTGAGCACCATCACTGCAAAGTGCTCACATACAGCAGCAGTGACCCAAGCCATCTACGTAACACCGTATTTCCCTGGAATACTTCAGGCAGCAAAAATAAAACAGCCTTCAAATGCACAACCCTCTGTAATAATTTAACCCCAGCTGGCAACTAAGTACCAAGAAGAAAATAACTATCCCATCCAAAGCCAGGACACGCTCAAATTATCTTTAGTCAAGTATCCAAAGCCAAGAAGAGGGTGGCACTTAGGCACTTACATTACACAGAAAGGGGAGCTCATCCTTCCCGTTTTTGTTTGGCAAGATCTGCAGGTTCTTGCAGTATTAATGCATTAATTTAGGCTTGCTGTACATTGTCAACATTATTCCACAGTTGTGCAGAATAATTTATTTTCTTTTATACAATGAAAAGTAGGCCAATTCTGGATAAGAGCCTGAATGTGCACTGAATCTTCCAGCAGATTTTAAATACGTGTGTATAAATACATCATTTTGTGGCAGAACATCCAGAAAGGAACATGAGGCTAATTCCTGTATGTTACAAAAGACAGATTAAGAATAAACTGTGAGAACAAAAGACCACCAGATGTCAGTCTAATTCTAGGCAGGGATCTACAGACAAGAACTAGATGGAGACTAATCTCTGCTAGAAAGCAACACAATTCTTATTATCTTTTCCTTTTCAGCACAAACCATCCAAACTCTTGCCCAATTCCTGTTGTATTCAACTGGCAAAAAGAAGAGGTTTGTTTTTTTTCCTGGATACTCTCTGACCATTTAAAACTGCACGACTGGTATCCACAACCTCCCAGGGATGTATCCTCCCTTAAGGGCTGGGAGGGGTATTCCCAGCACTGTATCCCATTACTTATGGCTACAAGAGAGTATGTATTGTCCACCTTGTCCCCTCTTGCCATGCAGACAGCTCTTTGCACCACTGTGTTTGTAGGCTCTAGGGAAAATCATTAAGGATTGTCTTCTGCCCAGACCCCGGGCAGAAGGAGCATGGGGTCTTCTGATGAACCAAAGATGTACAGAACAACCCCAGAGATCCACTGAAGGCTGAGGGGCTGGACTCAGTCCAGTTACTGCTAAACTAGAACAAGATGTTTCCAAAAACCAGGGCAACTTTTTCATAAAGTAATTTTTCTTCTTCCTTGCATCCTCAGTAAATCCAAGGAGAAAACCCGACAGTTCAATGAAACATTCAAAAACAAATAGCAAGCAACATATTGATTCTATCACAGAATTCAGGAAGTGAAGCTGAGCTTTCTGAAGAGTCATCAAGGACCTAAAGAAACACTGAGCAGATGGAACAAAAATTTTATCTTCTTAAACTTGTAGTCTTCTTGAGTTGGTGTTTGCCCCCAGAATATACCACAAGCATATATCACAGAATAACTGAACTAAAAGCATCTCTGACTACAGACATTATCCAGGTAATAAAATTACTAATCCAAATTTAGAAACCAGAAGAGGGCAACAAGAGACCCAGGTATAATCCAGGAGAGGATTCTTACCTTGTGCTTGGGGCACCTCACTGAGAAATTCTCTTCGTTTAGTAAACAATCTAAAGGAGGAGAAGACAGCAATGCATTATTTTTTTTTTAATGAAAACCAACTTGAACAATACATCATATGTGTTAATCTTGCCTCACAGGTACACATTTTTCATTAGCACTCCCAAAGTTTTAGCAAACAAAGTAACTGAACACCCCAAGTGACAATGTTGCTTGGATTACCAAGCAACCTTGGTTTTCCCAATAACCTGTATGCAGTAAGAATGACAACAGCAAGCCTACAAATCCTGTATCTCAACCCCCTTCAGCTATTCCAGCCTTCTTTGCTTTAGCACACAGAAGATGGACACATTCATCCAATCTGAACAGACAATCCCTGCATTTGATAGACAAATGCTGCCTTTCACCCTTACCCCAAGGCCCTGCCAGCATCAGGGAGAGCAGGGGTGTGTGTCTCTAGGTATGGGTGTCTACAGTTTACTTGCAACCACAAATCCTGGTGGTAAGTTTAAGTTTACACTGTGACACTATGTCTGGTAGTCTGGTCACTCATGCTGCTCTTAGATCTGCTTTCATGAATATGTGAAGTTTTTATGATCTAAAAAATGGTTTAGTTAATTATTTAAACATATTACGTAAAGTGAGGCACCTATATGGAACTGCTCATTTAGGAACAAATTAAGCAATACTGCCATTTGCAGAGCACTTATTTAGCAGCACTGCCAGAGTACGGATTGCTTCTCCTTGCATCCCCCCTCCCAGACTATGCCTCTGAGTGATGCAAGTCGGCAGCTCCCAAACTTCAGCCACAGGAAAAAGCAGCAGTCCCCTCGGAGCACTCAGCTGCCTCCCCTGGGCACCCTGAATTGCAGGGTCAGCACTCAACCTGCCCAAACGCCTGGTACCGCTCCGTTCCAATCGCCTCTTGCGTCGGAGGCTGACCCGAGGCTGTCACCTCACGAGCAGGACCCAGCACCCATCCCCACCTCAGCACGACCGAGCAGCGCTGCCCCGGAGAGCTGAGCAAGGTGCTCGTGACCTCCTGCCTGCTCCAACACACCCCAAGAGCTCACAAGTAGAGAAGTGCAATGGTAACTAAGATGTGCTAATTTAAAACGCTCTTAAGTATGTAGCATAACCAGTGCTACCTGCTGTTTCAATCTGCTGGAAGAGTTTAGCAGACAGCAGGAGACTGGAACTAAAGCTTGAGGGAAAAGCTTTCTAGATATCCAAGCTTTGGCAGAGTATCCCTCTGCTACAGAATGCTTAATGTTTCAACATGAATGCCTCTGGCCTGAATCAAAGGGAAACAGCATGCAAGAGGCTAAGTTACTTGAGAGATTTTAGCAAAGGGGAGTAAAACCATTAATCCTGCCACAGACAATTTCAAATGTAGCATTAGCAAATCACAAGAAATAAATAAAATGTCTTCTCACTATAAGGGCAGGAATCATACATTTAGACTACAGCATGAATTATCACTGCATAATACAGCAATCATCAAAAATATACAGAGCAATCATCAAAAACATACACAGTATGTTAGAACAGAATGGAGTTTTCTTCTTTGTTGGAAACCCAACATCGGTAATGAATGCAGTTCTCTAGCAAGTACATCAGAAAGGAAGATTGTACAAGGATCAGGAAGAAGTGCCAGAAACCTTGTACCTAATGCCTGATCTGTGTATGGAGCTCTATTTCTTACTAAGGTCAGCATTTTTGTTGCAAATACTAATAGCAGATCCAATTAATAGCAATTTTTTTGGTTTCTGTTAAAGGACAACTATGAAAAATGTCATCAGCACACTGTAGAAAATCAGCTGAATACCAATAAGGCAGAAATTGTTCATCATTACAAAGCTGGCCTGGATTTTGGTTAGCAGTTCCAAGTATTTTATATAACAGATTACAATTTGTCATGAAGTCAGCAGACACAGAGCTATGATCAGCTCATTGTGGCAGAAAGCGAAAAGAACTGAGACTTGTCCTTGTTTCCACAGATTTTTCTCCATAAAATAGTCAGGGAAAACCTAAAACACTTCTAATAGAAGCAATTATTCTTCTGTAAGCTTCATACTTTTGTCTCACCCTCTGTGTTCTGCCTGTTACTCATCTTTAATGATACTTGTGCAGACACAGGATTTCTGTTATCTGAAAATTCATTTTATTTTCCTGTTAATCTTTTCCTAATTACAGTCAAAAATCTTCTGTAAGTGGAACTGCCTGCGATATATGTTGTAGGGACAAGTGTGCTGCAACCATCAGGATCTGACTCCAGGTGGGGAGGAACAAGCAAAGGGAGAGGATATAAAATTTCAGAAAACAAAGATCCTGTTTCCATGGAGACATCCCTAGGACTAAGTTATCTTGAGACATCAGAGGCTCTTCATAAATTTGGACAGATGAAAGCCAAACACAGACAATGTTAACCACAGTCATTTCCATACAAAAATTACTTAAGTGGCACTACTGATCTTGATTTTTATATAAATGACTAAGAAATGTCCAGCCCTCTTACACCCTATATTGCCAAAGACTATTTTCTATGAAAGGAAATTAAAAGACAGCCTGAATTATGCTATATAAAAGCATCCATATGTACAAACTGGCAACTTACAGAGCCACGTGCCTTGCACAGCAATCCATTAGCAAGAGTGGGGCAGAGCCCGGCCCCTCCCCGGGTTGGGGCTGGACACCGACCGTGGGCACAGCAGCCGGAGCCCAGGTCCCACCCCAGGGCTGCCTTCAGCGCTGCAAGGAACTGAAGCAGCTTGACACATTGCAGCCTCCAGCCCTTTCCCAAAAACCTCCTGCCTTTCACGAGGCACTGTAACCGACTGGGACCAGCTTCTAACCCACACGGACCCAAAGGCACAAACGCCTCAGCTCACGCTGCAACTGCTCCAAAATGTAACACGGGTACTTCATCTCAACTAAGGCATGGTCACTTCCAGGAATTCGGACAAACCAAGTGTGTATGACTCAACACAGCCTAAAAACCACTCCAGCAAGTGTTTTCTGTTTAGCTTTATTTCTTTGAGACACAAAACCAGGCATACATATTCCAAAAGCCTGAAAGCCCTTGTAAATGTTAACACAAACTTCTGAGGATTCAGAACAGATCTGTGACAGATCCTAAATAAAGCAAGGTGGCACCATCCCTCAAAGCAGGAAGGTTGATTTCAAAATGGAACTACCACTGAGCTCAAGGAAGCTGAGTAGTTTCACTACAGAAAGACAGTAGAACTGCAAAACCCATAAAAAGGGTTTAGAGGCTGAGCAAAGAGAAATAATGTTGATTTGTTTCTCAAGGAAGCCTACGTTTTCTGCTTGGTCATAAATGAAAAGCAGATCTTATGACATATAGATTGCTTATTTTTTTTACACAGATTTATTGGAAGAGTGTCTATAGATTAAGACAGCTTGATTACACCCACAGATAAAACCAACTGCAAACAAGGTCTTTTATTGTCACACCATCAGGCTGAAATTTTAAATGCTGAGAATCTACTTCAAGCTGGGGCTTTTTTATTTGCTTTGGTTGAAAACTTCAGCTGAAGCAGCCCAACAATTTCCTTAAAACTCTTTCTTGGAAAAAAGTTATTCCGCCCATGATAAACATCCCAGGATTTTTTTCTCTGAAAAGCTCTACACTATCCTGATTTTCAGTAGGACCTGGACTTTAGCTAAGGCATGCCTTTGCCAGCTACCACAAAACCAACAAACAGAACTCCTTGAAAAGCAATATGTGGATTTTCATGTGCACATCCTCAGAAGAGGCCTATTAGATTTCAGTAGCTAGGTACTTTTAAAAATTCCACCAAATATACTTCTGTTTGGGGGTGATCAGGCCCTTCCTGTAAATGGACCTCTGCCCTCAGATTCAGGCACCAGACCCAAAAGCAGTGAAGCTGTCAGGGGACATTTCTAAGACTCAAGCAACCCAAAAGGAGAAAGTGACCATTTCAAAACTGCAAAATGGGGAGCACTAGTCCAGCAGACAGAAGTGAAAACAGTACTGAGAAAGGCAGTCAAGACACAGAAAGAATGAGGCTAGCAGGAGGGAGACCAGTGCTACTGGAAGTCAGGAGCAGGGAATTAAGGATCAGTGCCAGCAGGAGCCTAAGACAAAGAACTGACTGGAACAAGGCATAGAAAAGTGAAACAGAGAATAGAAAGGACAATATACGAGAACAAACCAGGACTAGCTGGGTGAGGTGTGACAAGGAGCTGAGTTAGGAGAACCAAATGGCAGTAATAAAGCCCAGAGAGGAAAAAGAACTAGAAACAAGAAAGGAGAGGAGGAGGTGAAGTAAGAGCAGAGAGGAGGAAGCCAGAGAGAGAGCTAGGAAACTGGAAAAAGGAAAAGTCAGAAAGAATTAGGAGGAATTAGATCTTAAAAAGAGAGTGGAGTAAGAAATTTGTAAAGAGGGGCCTGAGACCAACTAGATGAAAGAGCTGTGGCTGGTATGAGAAGCCAAAGAGAAGAACACATCAGACATACAGATGAAAAGGAAGAAATAGATAGGAAAATGTATTTAAAAAGCACCAATGAAGTATTTTGCTCTCACTAAACCATACTCTTCCTGAAGTGAACCAGACTCACCAGTTTTACCAACTCCTCCACTATTTTTTAAATATGTTTGTGAAACTCACAGTCCAAGTATCCCATCTCCATGCAGCTCTTGCAATTTATTACTGCTGTATTACTCAAAGGAGGGAAATTAGCTTGGAATTGTGCACTCCAACAGATGGCCACATGACAACATGATGTCTCATAACAAAATTAAAAGAAGTAAGCATAGCCTTGGAACTTGAACACAAAAAGCTACTCTAAAAAAATCTCACAGGTTGCAAAGACAAGACAAAAGTGAAAAAAAGCCAAATTTAATCTAATCCAGGTCTACACATTATATAGCAGACATGTTACATTTAAAATGGACTAAACAGTATGATTATATACTCGGTTTTGTACATGAAGCTGCCTCTTCCAGGCATAACACAGAACTGGCTCTTGGGAATCAGTCATGATTGTTCAGGACATTTCTCATTTTGGAGAATCCTACATTTGCTGAACTGGAATAGAGTTAATGAGTGGAGTAGAGTTAATATAGCTGAAGAAAAAGGAGAGTATGTGAATTTTGATATCTGAATTTAGAACCCAGAAAATGCTACATATTGTATTTAGTAAAACATAAATTTTTGCTTTTTCATGGTACTGAAAAGGGCAAGTCACAAACCAGAAACAAATACATACTAAACACAACATGAATGTGAATCTGATTGGTGATTGTGTGTCTCAAATACACTGTACAAAAACAAGTTTAATAATGTTCATGAAACTCTCAGGCATAACAGAGATGAACATCATAGGAAATTTTCCAGTTCTGCTTTCAGAACCGAGAAGGAATCATCTGCAGTATGACACAGATCCAGCAAGGACAACATATGTTCATGAATGAATACCCCTCCATCCCACAGGCTGAGGCAGGGCCTTAAGAGAAGACTTATCAGCCTTTAATTAAGGGATTACTATAAGATAGATTCATAAAAGACCAAAATTACACTTACATAGACACCTTCATTTCTGGTATTTTTTGAGTATGTGATTTTTGCAACCTGAATAATCTTTCTTTTATGTAAAGTCAAGGATTCTCTCTGCTAGTAGTACTGTGGTACTAGAATATTCCACTGCAATATTAATTTAAAAATAACATTCCTATTAGAATAAAATGCACATCTTCAATAGGGCGGGACTTCACAGTGAGAGGTGCAATGCAGTCATACAGAAATGAGCATTCCTACTTCAAATACTCTAACATTTGGAAAACAGCATAAAATGGTTGGTGAACAAATGGGACAAACAGGAAGCTTGCAATTATTTTCCAGTCTAGAGTTGTAATCTTGAATCCTTTCCTGTTTGTTATCAGACAAAGTTTTGTATGACAGAAGTGAGTTACAGGGGACTGGAAAAGTGGGGTATTACTTACTCTGAGGTTGGATTATTTTTACCCAAGAACAAAGTTTATCTCCATGAAAAACTGTCATTACTTCACAAAACCCACCAAACTCACAAGCCCAGGCTCATAGCTGGAAATAATATCATCCAAACAATTAGCTTGTATAAGGATGAAAATTGGACCTACTCAAGAGACTGGCTGAAGTGCTTCTTAGGAGGAAGAAGGATGGTTGTGCTGCAAATGGTACTGATGATTCTACAAACACAAACACTTGAAATCTTTACTAGGACCACCCATAGGAGTAGAACCCTGAAAGAAGAAGCCCCTTGCTGCTTACTTACATCCTTTTAACAAAGGGTTTCTATTTTTGGCAAGAAAAGAGCGATCAGTTCTCACACTGCAGCCAAATTTCCGTCACTGTAGCTGCACTCCCCCAAACCAGGCTTTTTCTGCTCTTTCAGACAGATTCATTACAAGCTCCATCTTGTCCCAACGTGTTACTGTACGCTGTTTATCGCATGCCGTTTCTCACCATTTTCGTTACTTTATCTTCACAGCAGGAAAAAAACTGAGAGGGAGTAATTTGTAAAGTACCTCAGAATTACTTAGTGTCATATGACTTGAGTAATTATGGAATACCGTTGTCATTTATTCCTACCTGCATCGATGGCACATGGGTAATGGTATCGGAAGGAGCAGCCTTTGTTGTAGCAGCCTAAGGTGGCTCCTGGTTCCTGGCAATGGGAACATTTCTGAAAGGGAAACCAAAAAACAGTAGTGAAGTAAAGCAGCCATTTTCCGGAATACCTGTATTTTCCTGGGAATTTTATCAACCACATTCCAGCACAATTGTTTTGATAAATCACGTTAAACTCTATCTTTCTACACCATACAAATAAAGGCCTTTCAAACAAGTAACAACATATGCTCTTTCAAACTATGAACTTTTCAGTTGTGCTAAGCAGGCAAGAGATACAAATGTTCAGCCATTCAGAAACAATCTGAAATACTTCTGTTTTACCGGCCTGTATTTCAGTACCTGACAATGACATCACTATTAAAATAGGAGGAAAAAGAGTGGTTTTGAACCTACAGCAGCTTTAAAAAGAGAATTAGCATGACAAATAATTATTTAGAAGACACCACCATAAAAGTAATTTGGTTACATCATTCTCATTATCACTAGCAACTGAAGATGATCATGGCCAAGTTCAATGTTTTTTCACAGGTGATCAAAAAGAATTTATCTGGAGCAGAAGATGCCATCATGGGGAAACACCTCATCGTCACAGAAATGGCACATGTCCAAAAAAACGCACTTGCGGTGCAACAAGGATGCTCATACCATTATTGTCAAAGTAGCTCAGACTCATCTGATGACCACATTCAATTTTCAGTAGTTAAATCCTATTAGCTCAACTAGTCAATGATGCATTTGACCATAATATCAGACAATTGTGAAAGCAGAAAGAAAGTCTCTCACCCTTTTACTTCATCCTGAATGACTTAAGAAATTACCTAAGGAAGTATTTCTAGAGCACATCTCATTCAGACAGCCATTTTATTTCTTGAATGTATACACTAAGTGATTTTTGTTAACTAACCTCATTCTTATGAAAGCTGATTTCTGACAGGTTGACATTTTTCCCTTAAAAAAGATGCAGCCATACCTGGTAGAATTCACCAAATGCTAGGAGACTGCTACTATTTAAAAATTAAAAAGCGAATTAACTACTGGCAGAAAACAAAGACAGGAACTACCATAAGTTTTGAGTCACACTTTAGAAAGACAGGAATTTTGTTTATTCTGCTAAATACAACCAACAGCACAATAAGGCCCCGTATAATTGGTACAATTCACCTTGAATTCAGGCTGTGAGAAGTTGCCCTTGGTCCCTGCCTGCCCACAGCGATGATGACACGATCTAAAATCACTGCTGCTACTGGAAAAGCTGGCGTCAACCTACGGCGTCAACCTAGGGTGCTCTACGGCCGCTCCCAGCGAGCTGCACCCGCAGCGCACACCAGCAGCTGCGCTCGAGCCAGCAGCACACCTGGCACTGACACCAGCACGGCCTTCCCACACATGGGCACGCTCGTCTGCCAACATGGCCACATCCCCTGGACCGCGCGTCCTCAATCCCTGATCAGCACACACGCTCAAGTGGAGATCTGCAGAACAGACGTGGTCAAAGCTAACAGCCACAGCAAAGTTCCGCACTTGGCATAGTAAAACAGGGGCTTGATTACAGTATTTCCAAAGCCTCTGAGAATATCTGACAGTTATTGTTCTTCCTACTATTCTGTACTATGCAGAGATGACTATAGTTTGTATTTAAATGCCTGAATGAAGATGAAAGCAAAACTAGCTCCAGCCATGAACCAGGGGGCCCTCTTCAAATCAAAGCAGATGCAACTAACAGAAAAGCTTGTGAGACGCCAGTTCTCGTGACATCTACAACTGCAGTTTTGAGTAACACCTTCTCTTTATGGGTATGCCAAAGCATCCTGAGCCTGATCTTCAGTGCTTCCTACTAAATCGTGTCTATATTCTAAGCACGACAAACTACTGCAGTATTTATGATGCAAGGGAAGTGTCCCTGAGGCCCAGGAAGAGACACACAAGCAGCTTATTATTGCCTGTCAGAACACCAACGCAAGTTTCCAAAGATTAAAAAAAGAGGCTAAACCAATACTGAAATGCACATCAAAACACACGGACCACTAGCCAAACTGCAACGTAATTCACTCTCCCATGGGAGTAAAACCAAACTTCATCCACAGAAAATGTCTTTTCCTGGCTCTGAAGTCAACTCTAGAAAGATATTATGTACTGGCGACAGTCCCAGATTCACCTATGCCAAGTACTCACAAAGTGCAGCTTGAGGAGCTCTGAAACAGAGCTCTGTACCTGTGTACTTTATTCTCGCTTTCAGATGCAGCTGACTGGGATTATTCTAACAGGAGAGAACCCAAACTGACTATTCTTTTTGAATGCAGATATGAATTTCTAGCCTTGTTCCTCGGAGGCATTCTGCCCTCCCCACTTTATCTCATGTTTTATGTACCGTCACACTGTTGCAACAGAAGGTCATTCTCCCCCGGAACACTGTGTCCCGTGCAGAGCAGTCAATAAGAGCATAAGAGCTACAGCAGCAGAGAGATTGAACTGCAGCTATATAAAATATTTCTTAACACTAAAAAGGTATGTCTTAAATGAGTATGGTGTGTGATAAAACAAAAAACAAGACCCCTAGCAAAATCTTTGACACTTTTCCAAAAGGTAATTTATTTTTAGGACCTACTCTTTGGTGCATCTAGCATGGTTCACGTTGCTATTCTGAAAATCACATTCTGAAACATGACAGCCATTTTGACAAATTTTCAGCTGAGAATGGGTAAGGAATGCTTTAAAATTGTTTGTGATTTTAGGAGTGATTACACAGTAAAAGTGGGTAGTTAAGATGCCAGTGCATGTGCATGGAGCCTTCACTGTCCCTTTTTTTAAGTGTGGCAGACAGAGATTTTACCAAGGTTACCTGCGCTACGCCCACAACAGCAATTCCCGGGTGGATGACTATGCCACTGTCGGCTCAAGGCAGAGATCATCTGCTGCTGCTGGCTCCCCTGCTGCTGAATAAGTCTCCATTCTGGCAGATGCTTCTGCTTTTCACAAGCCACTGACAGTCTAATGGCCCCATTTCTTCTACCTCCCGGGACCCCCAACCATCTGCTTCTTGCAGGGGAAGCTGAGGGAACCACATACACAAAATAAGTACTCTTTTTTTTGAGTTCTTCCTTCTTGGCACACCTGAGTGACTGAACAAAGCAGACACCCTACAAAGCTGTGTGGTTCTAAAACAACTTCTGAGTCTATCCCCTTATCTTTGAAAGAGACTATCATCATGTAGTGCCACATGGTTTCCAAACACACCCAGGTGTTCCCATGAAGACAAAGTGCTTAAAAATTTCTGGATGGTCTCACTCTTCTTTTCCAAGATATTGCTGCTCTGCCTTGAAGGTAAAAAGATGCCTCGTTCCTGCTGGTACTTTCTGTAGCTTTGGTTAGAACTCTCATCTCATGTATTTATGCTTCAAAACAAAAAATATGCACACTACAACTAGGAAACATTCTAACACCAAAAAAAAAACCACAGAACTTCTTACAAGGAAATGTTAAGTTCAGCATAATGAAGACTAATTGTTTTCTTGGTCCACCAGCAAGTTTTCACCCAAACTCCACCATCCTGCAGCCATTCACCAGCAGATGGTAGCAGCCTGCTTGTCACTTGTAAAGGAATTATAGCATTCTTAGCCAGGGAAACAGCACTCCAGCTCTCCTGGGAAGAGAAATTCCTTTTGCTCAGTAAGCAGCCTGCTTAACCTCCCCTGCTTGAAAGAGCTGAAGGCTGGTACTTGGAGTGTGCTCCCAGTGGGAGGTGCCAATGGATAGTAATCATTGCCAGGCACCTAATCAACTCCTGGCTTAAATGTAAAAAAAAAAAAAAAAAAAAAAAAAGAGTGGAAAAAAGAGACCACACAGCAAAGACTGATTCATAGGTCCTATCTCCACAATTCATCTCTGGCCACAAGGCACATATATCTCACTTAGAATAGGCTGGAGAGACTGAAAAGTGCCATTTAGAAGACACTCCATCCCATGAACTAAATTATCAATAGTATTAAAGCCAGATACATTGTCTCTGCCTCTCCACGCTATTAGCAGCCCATTTCTTCCTTGCTACAGCTCATGGTTCTATGTCTACCAAAATGAAGTAACAGCCAACCTGGAAGTGTGAACAGCTGGGGGACAGCTACCACAGCAGCAGCAGAATGGCTCTGGTTCATTTAAAACACTACAGCACCTACCAACTATATTTCTTTTGCTTTATGCTTGGCTTTTTTTCCCCTTGCAATCTGTATTCTTTCACTCCTCTGAGACCACACTGCTATATGTAATAAGAGTATACTTTTGAGTACCTTTTTTTGCTTCCTTCAGATTTGTACCCAACTCCACATAAGTGCTGTAACATAAAGATGTCCTGAGCTACCTACCTTCTTCCTCCTGAACAAGCACAAAGCTCTTAGCCCTGTGAAAACCAGTGCCCCAAGCTGCTCAAGTAAAGCACTCACCTGCTGACTTTGGCTCTGCACTGACAGAGATAGTATCTTTGTCCCTAGACAAAGTACTTCTTAGTACTGGAAACCTACAGTGGACATGGTTTTGCTGGTGGGAGGATGGAAGCTGCTGACCAGCCCTTCCAAAATATTCTGGGCAGGAGCAGGGACAGTTGCTTAGAAGCAGAAATTAATTGCTTGTAACACTAATGTATGGTGTTTTCAGATGACTCCTCAGCCACCTTCCTTGTTGAACATTACCAAACCAGTTTAAACCAGGACATTCACAACAGGATCATATTTTCTGCTGTCTGTAATACAAAGCACGTTTCTTGATCAGTGGTTATATACCCTATACTCAGACCTCCTGGCTTCCCCTCTTCCAATGACCAGCTTTTCCTTCGGTTTGTTTTCTTTCTTTTTCCTTCGCTTTGCTTTCTAGGCTTCTCCTTGTTTTGCCCCTTCTCCCATACCAGTGTCAAGAATGCATAAAAGGAGTAAAACGGAAAGCAACAACTGAAGGTTACTAACAAGCAAAAAGTGAAATATACGTGGCATTAATTATACAGGTACAAGTCTTTGCTTTACATGTTATAGATATTTTTCACACTCTCTCCCTCTCCTGTTTAAATTA